AAAGTCGTAAACAATTTTTAAAAAGACGATACAGTATTATAAATCGGTCCTGTTCATGCTGCAATACATCCTACTGTGCTAAGATGCTTCTCAGAAAAACATACTCGACTCTCACTCCTCGCTCGCAGCTTGTTAACTTCACCGTGGCAACTTTATTATCAGGCTAGTCGCGAATTGGAGAACAATCGCGCGGACGACTGACAAATTCCGCGCAGATGCGTCTGTAAATAAGTCTGGAACGGGTAGCGCTTAAACAACGATCATTTTACACCTCTCGGCCTATTATTTCCAACGCTGGTGCGACAAATGGTCTCGAGTTGCACCAGCGTCGCGCTTTAACGCGTCGGTTTTACGGTGTTTACGGTGTCGACCAGCGCGAGTACGCTCGTTCCTCGCGCATGGAACGGCGGAAAGAAAAAGAAAAAGAAAAAGAACGAAATTAGAATAAAATCTTGCTCGCGTCTCGTGGTTCGTTCAGAGTTATTCGATAAAACAGCGGCGTGTCCTTGAGCAGTTGCGTTTCCTCTTCGATGCTTCCCTTCCGCTGATGGTGAAACGAAACTGGCAGTCTTGCGGTTCTCGTGGCTCTTCTACTTTGACACCGCGTTGCCATTGATGTCGAGATCGCTCCCCATGGGCTCTGCGAAGTCAAGATTTTCCCTTTTTATACTTTGGTTTAAAGAGTAGCAGGATCTAGGGTCGTGGTAACATTTATCTTGCAATTTGGTGGTTTCCAGATCTCTATGGCTGCAGATAAAAACGGAGAAGTGGAGTTCACGGTTACGATTGTACTTTAGATAGCCAGGTACCAACGTCGAAGAAATTTCACCCAGTAGGGAATGAAGTAGACTACTAAAAGACGGCAGAGACAAAGGAAACTAGTATGCTACAGTGTCCACTACGGTACCTTTGTTTGAACAAAAATGAACCTATTCTAATCTCTATTCTAAACGTATTCCTTTGGGAATAAATTAGACACACGAACTGACAAATAAAAACAACAATCGGTCCCCAATACTCAACGCACAGAGTTAACCTCAAAACCTACATATACACAGTGTCATCATACTAAACAATAACTTTATCCAAACATATAATACCAAAACGGATAATACAATAATCAAATGCACAACAGGACACAATTCCATTCATCCATACTGTATAAAACTAACCTCAAACCCTACCTATCTCTACATCTCCATCCACCAAGATCCGGACCAAATACACATCTACCACCGCCCAAATCTCAAAGAACATTCTATCAAGTCAAACAACCCATCGGAGCCAGTCCGTCAGCAAACAGGTCCCGTTTCCTCAGTCCAAGCATCCTCATCAACTTAGCCATCTTGGTGGTCCTGCACCTGGATCTGGTCCCCTTCTCCTGTCCCATGTCCTGGTCGAAGAACGCCTTGATCGTGGAAAATCTACCCATGCTCGACTCCTGCGACACTCCACCCCTGTTCCCAGCTTCCGGGCTGCTTTTCAGCGAGGCCAGAGAAGTTTGCGAGACTCGATTGACCTTGTGCAGGCTCTGACGAACGGCCACGTACAGATTATCGTTGCAATCCAAGTCCAGGGGCGCGTCCAAAGTTTTCCACAGCTTTCGACACTCGTTCCTCACCACTCCGAGTTCCTCTTCGGCTTCCATTTCGCAGTCTTCCTTCGGCGATCGCGATTCTCCGTTCAACGTCACGAGGTCCATGCTGCACCATAGAACCGGCGGATGCTAAAAGGATAAATGCGATGAGATTCGTGACAACTGCAGGGCAGATAACGCTACCACGCTGATAAAACGAGGATGTATACAGACTGGCTGTTGGGCAGGCTGATTGGTCGAAGATCGAAGATGGTGTTCTCGGTTTGGACTGGTTTATGACGTCCATGGCATCGTTATGGTTAATTGGTTTAGATAGACTGGTCGAATTGTAATTGGATGGCTTGGTGAACCGTGATTGGTTGGCTCTTCCTGATTACGGAAATTGGCTTGGAGCGAATAACGAATCGATTCGACTCCTTGTCTTTAATATAGGATCTCATTCGTGGAGCAGATCACGATCTAGACGAGATAATCTTCATCGTCGTTTTGTTAATTTAATTTTATCAATTCGTCCAGGACTTGGAAAAATAAAATTTCCAATGTGTTCTCCAAATTTTCTCACACACGTCGTATAATTTTGTAACTTTCTTTGATCTTTCTATAATCTGAGATCTATCTTTGGTGATCCGTTGCGTGCTATTTTAATTCTAATTAACTCGCCGATCGTGCAATCACGATATAGGTAAGTACGAACTTAGGACCGCGTTCGACTGATAGAATCTCGCGGCAAAACAAAACGTGAACGGTGATTTCCCGGGAAAATTCGGAGAATCGGAAGGAAACCGGCCTTTTCAAGCTGACCAACTTTTTACTTACCCCCGCGATCCCCGCGAGAGATAGCAAAAGCTCGGCAAACACCGAGGGAAACTTTTTAGATTAGAATAGCATCGTCCCCGGAGATTGGCCACGGCTCTGACCAAAAAATTTGATAAGATTCGAGGGTCGATACGAGGCCACCTATACGCTTTAACCGACTCGACTCGCGTTCTCCAACGTCGAAACACTATTTCCCCACTGTTTTCGAAAACTGGTTCCGTCGTATCTCATGAATAAGAATCGCGCGGAAGTTGCAGGAATCGTTCCGTCTCTTTCAAACGGAATTTCCAGCTCGCGTAGAACCGTTTCTTGTACGTTGCACCGTGTTTCGGATTTCCATAAAGTTCCGCGGCAATTTTCTATTGGATCTGGCACGTAGAATTTCACCGCGTTCGGTACGGTGTCGCGAAAGTCTTTCAAGCATCTCTCGCACTTCCGCGACGTTGCGATTAAATTCGAACAAATAAACAAATTCTCGATAACTTCTTAACAATACCGATAATAATCACGGCAATACGAGCGATCGTGCGAGAAATAAATAATTAAATAAACTTAAACTAAATAACTAAAAATAACTAAGTAACTAAACGAGAACTGGAAATCCCTAGCTTCTTTGTTAAAAAGTTTCCTCTTCGAAATTTCACCAAATTTTCCCGAGTAAATTACGAGATATTCAAAATTATTTCTTTTTTTTCTTTATAAAAATCAAATCCGTTCTAAGGTTTGAAAAATAAACTTTCCTATACTTCGGACCCTAGAAATTTAAATGGGAGTATTCTAAAAAGGAACTAGTGAAAAGATAGTATGGTAACAATTGACTTTACAATGCTGGGAACTGAATTTGTATATATTTCATGGTACTATGTGCGCATTAATATCCTACTTTATAATAATCCAACATTTATGATCACGCGAATTTACATATGTATATATATAAATAACACACCGCATATACAAGGAAATTACACAGGTTTGCATGAGCGCTTAATTAAACATCGTGATATCGATCATAGTGTTACTAACTGTTTCACAAGTTTTTCAAGGGAACCATAATGTTGCAAGAGTAGCAAAGAAATGTTTCTCCTATCACCACACGCCAATATGCAACGATTATTAATCATAATTTTAACCATTTTACAACTTTACCCTCAGTGATCCTTACTAATGGCATTTCGTTTAAACGCATATACTATATTACGTGCCTAAAATTTATCGATAATACTACAAAACCGCGAAGAACACAAAATGCAGCAGAGCATGAATAATTTCACTAATTAATTGACAATCGAGTATTCGGGTAGAATTTTTCTACCTGGCAACCCTTTTGGACACTTCTCGTCAATTTCACCTGTATCACTCGAGAAGCATCAACGATAAATGCAGTATAATAAGATAAATGTACATAATAAATTTACACGAGGTATTTACAATCGATCGACAAGATATAAGAAGGAATAGAAGCAAACAATAGTCCCAGATAAGCAAATATAGTTCAGTGGGTAAAAATTGTTGATTAATAAAATAAAAAATAAATAAAATTCATCTCATGGAACTAAAAGCCAAAGTAAAAGCCAAATGCCTCAATTAAATAGAAAACAGCGATACGTTAACGCGATAAAACGAAAATAAGTCGCAGTTTAAAGGAATCTTCGCTATCGTTTGCTTCTACTCGTAGATGTTCATTACTAACAGGAAGAGACACCCGATACATTAAGGCTATCGAAATCTGCACGAATCGGAATTTTCGCTTTTGGAAATTAAATTAGAAAGAAGACAAAATTAAAATATTTAGTTAAGCAACTGGGAATTATATCTGTCCCTCCTAAATATAACTTAACATAGGTACCTTAACGTAACTTATTCTAACTTACAACTACGATTTACTCTAAAATAACCGACAGCTCGAGAAATATACAATAACTATTGGGAATGTGAACACAGTGTTACCTCATTATGTATTCTACGGTTTTCCCCTCCCACGAGCGATCCACGAGGATCCACTGGAAATTCGCAGCGCTACAATTTCCCAGTCAAACCTCGAGTCTACCCGATACTTTCTTACAACGTAATGATTTCATTTGCATACAAATAAAACGCCCTTTACATTGCATCCATCGCTCTAAACTTAAACGAAAACGAAAATAAGCCATAAAACGAACTCTCCCCGTGCAAATATCGATAACTCGGTGTCTCGATATGGCGCTCGACGATACGAAAATCGTTGCAGATGTTCGCATGATTGGAAAATCGAAAGACCGTTCAAGAAATTAGTTTTCAAATGTCTCGATCGACGAAGATCGATCGGGAGATCGAGAAGAACCGGCGGACATCGTTAAAATCGTGAGTGTAGATTCATCGATTGTTAAGCGACGTGGTTTCTACGACCCTCGATCGATCCTCGTTGTTCTCGTTCGCCAGCGAGAACGATCGAATTTGAATGAAATTCGCGAAATTGAATCGACGTTCGAATTCCGCAGTTGTTCATCTCTTCAACATCGAGTGGTTCGTTGTCCATCCTTCATCGCGTCTTCCACGATTGCCAATTCGAAGAAGAACGGAGTCCTCGCAAGGATTTGCGAGTGCAGGGTGCATCATCCCCGAATCATCCCTCGCGGGTCACGTCGACGAACCTTGGCCAAAGGTCTCTTGCTCCAGAATTTTCGACTCTCCTTTCTGTTTCTGTTAACAATATTTTGATTTGCTTTTCCTTCAGTGCGTCCAATATTTTTCACAATTTTTGTTCTTTTTTTATTATTATTTTACTTAATCTTCCTTCAGCGCAATTTGCTATTCTTCCTTTAGGAACACGCTGTTATTTTTGCATAAAGGAAAGGAAGGAATTCTTGGTAGCGACAACGATAATATCGGGTAATAAATTGCGAGTGAGATCAGGAATTATTTTGGTTAGGTTTCTTTTCTTTTCTTTTTTCTTTTTCCATTTCTTTTTCGTGTTTCAAGGTCTGCGAGGATGGATAGGTGTCCGTTTCTATGGAAGTTTGTAAGCCCGTTGTTGGAACTCGATGCTAATCAATAGGTGTTGGCTAAACTCGAAGTCAATGTTAGTTCGCAAGTTTTATAGAAAGGTGGTAGTATAGCAGGGACTCGTGAATTATTCGGTTATAACGACATTGGGAATGGATTTTAAAAATGTAGTCCAAAATGGTCGTGACAAGAGTTTCAGGAGGAGTGTAGAATTCCTGTGACTCTATCTACTTCGTTGCTAACTGCTACCTATTATCTACCCATTTCGAAACTTCTCTAATTAAATATTAATCCTTTGCGCTCAACGGTTTGCCTCCAAGATAATAAAATTAAAATCGAACTTAATTTTCTATAATAACTTAAAAATAATAATATATAAATTAAAATATCGAATTAACCTTTCGTTTAAATATTCCACAAATTTTGTTATTTTAAATTTAACATATCAATTTCTACTAAAAAATATTATTTTAATAATCTTATAATAATCTCTGGAATCCAAATAGTTAATTATCATTTATCCATTTCTTGCCACTAATTTACAAGAAATTCGTGTGAGAGATTACGTTGGATTTAAAATGGTCGGTTGACGTTCGAAAATTTCCTTCGTCTTAACAGTCGAAACGTACACAACGAAAGTCGGGATACAAAAACTTGTTTTGTTCCCAAAAGGGAAACACAACGGTGAAGCCGAGGCACGTTCGAACTCGTTATTCGCGAGCTGAAATATTTCCTTTGGCGCGAGACTCGGCGAGAAAGGCGTGGCTTTAAAACTGATCCAAGCGTTCGATTACGTTTCCTCATCCGATAAATCTCCCCATAATAAATCCCTCGAGCGAAATACTTGGCGAAAGAAACAACGATCTTCGTTAACGGCGCAAAAAGCCGCTTACAAAGCTCCGTAATCTCGCTTTCCGCGGCACGTCCAGATCATGGACGTTCGAGATCCAAACAACCGTGCATAACTATAAACAGAGTAAGCCCCGAAACCGAGATCCCACGGCAAAACTCGCATAATCCACGGACAGAATCCAGGGAAACGCGATACCAGTCAGCCATCTGGCTTGGACCATCGATCCTTTCCATCTTGCAACCGTACGCCAACGTAAAACCACTATTATTACGCTACTGACACGAATATTGAACTCTTTGAGCCTAGCTCAACGAAAATTCCACAAAAATAACATTAAATACTCGTTCGATATTAATTATTAATTTCTAAGGAAATCACGAGTATTTAATTATTTACATTTGTCTTTCCGAAAGTTAAAAAATATTCCGAGAATTGTTTAATAATAATACGACTCGAAATTAATTACTAGAAATCGATGAATATTTAATTTTTAGTATCGTTATCTTCAAAGAATTCAAATTTGAACTAATTCGAGTGGAGATTATTGTTATTATTCGCGTAATTACCCAGTTGCTTATGTAGCGTCCCATCTTCTTAGAAATTTAACATTCTATCGAAGACCGTTATTACGTTACACAAGGGACTATTGAGTCGGCCGTGCCCCCTCCCCGAAAGAAGCCGAAACGTTATCGAACTGTAATTCGATCGAAGACCGTTATTATTACTGCTCGCGTGACTGCCGAATTCCCCCACTCGCTCCCCTCCTCGCTGAAATGTCCAGAGAACGAACGATACATCGGGAGACGAGAAGACAAGGAAGGGAAACGGGGGGGAGAAAGAGAGACGATAGAAAAAGACGTTGAGATTCGGGAGATTTTCGCCGGAGAAAGATGGAAGCACGGAACGGAAACGGGATCTTCGTGACGAAGTTTCTCGCGTAGCTGCCAAAAGGCGCGTATAAATAGGCCGGCTGACAAAAACAAGTCGCCGCGTCATGTTGCTCGGACATAAAGTTTTTAATCGCCACGGCTCGCACGCTTTACGAGCTATCACGCGAGAAACCCTGTCTTTCTCCGCGGCGAATTTTCGATTCCGTCACCTCGACCAATCAACGCGAACATTTACGAGCGTAAAATTCGGAAGCAATCGTTTTTCTGTCGAATGTTACGGGGAAACGCGAATCCGGCGATTTTATGGGAGTCACAGGCAAAATTCAAACAGATACGCGACTCGGCTTGAAATGGATTTCGAGAAAGGTCACACGACGCGAATGTTATCGTTTCGTAAACGAACGTTAGGACGCGAACGACGTGACGTCGAAAGGACCGTGTCGTAGGGCGTGACAAACATGGCGACGGAACGATTGAATATTTCACTTCGTAATGTTAAAAATAAAAAAAAGAACTGTTTCTTACCCAAGATAATGCTCAAAGATTCTGTAGTGCAGTTTGACATATTGCTTAACCATGCAGATTGGGCACATTGTTCGCACGTCTAATTTCTTGGCGATCCTTCGAAACTTTTCCGCCTGTATTGCGACTTTCGAACGTCTAACGACCGGTAATGCGTTCGAGAATGGTCTCAAAGCGTCCCTTCCCGCGAGCACTGCTTCTCATTTATCTGTAAGAACGGGAGCCCTTAGCGAACTCGGCGAACTTCCCAACTTTTAATGGTGAATTAAATTAACCGAGATCTAATCCGAGAACGGTTTAACCGTCAATTAAAACACTTTCAACAAATTTGATACGTACGAGAGCAACGATACTGCGTCGTAGCGGTTACACGGAACGAACAAATTTCTGACTACTTAAAAATTCGAACTTATGCAGTAATACACTATTACGGAGGTGAACACTATAAAGATATACAACCAGAAAAACGCGAAGATGAATAGGGAATTCGATCGGTCCGTTTCGCGACACATACGCGACCACACGTACGTCGTAATTGCAACGTCCATTTTGAGAACGCCAACGGGCGAGATTTCTTTCGGTCGAACGTATTCAAAGATCGATTCGATTTACCTTGTCGATAATCCGCGTGTCGAAACAGGCTCTCACCGGAAATAACTGATCACTGTCCGCAGATTCGAATCGGTGTACGAGCAGATGGTGAGATCGTCGTGTGCCATCCTTCTAGCGTGTCCCTCGCGATTATCCTGCCGACACGTGTTCACCTCATGCCGCACGGACTGCGATCTGGGCGGAAGTCAATGCCACGGTGTGTCGCGTGATTCGTTTCGTCACGTCGAGATGGCGTTTGAAAGCGCGCAATTTTCAAGCGCCAATTTTTACGCTATTCTCATTAGAACAAATGAATTGATGGAAATAATCGTTTCGTGCTTCAACGATTCAACTCAAATCGTGTATTTTGTTAATAAAATTAAATAATCTTCGAAAAATAAAGCCAATAAAAATGGCTTTTGAATAATTTGCTCGTTTTTAGAATCTTTTTGCACTCGTTTTATATGGAAAATCTCTGAGCATGGTATACAACGTTGTCGAGGTGTAATGGAAAGTAATATACTGCCTTATATTTACGGCGATAGCTCGTGTATAGTAGTAATAAAGTTCCTTCACGGTCTAAACTGTTAATTAATCTTTCTCTGCTTTTACCACGTCATAAATTTAAGTATCAACAATATCAATTTTTTGCCTTATAATTCTTTCAGCGGTTATTCATGCTGGCGCTTGTGCTTCGTCGGTTTAACCCTTTCACGGCTATGAAACCGTATATGTGTCCGTTGTTAATTAAGAGACCGTATATTCGCGTGACACTAAACAACGTAATATCACTAAACAGTATTACGAAATATTTTCCCGACTTTCTGAAAAGAACACTGGAATTATTTAATCATTGTCACTGAATTCTTTTTTAAATATTATAGAAATTACGCGGATATTTAAATATTTAAACTCATAAAATTATAAATCAGATATTTATTTGCGATAAAATATATTTCTGTCACTAATGCATCTGTTTATTTTTCTTACACACTATTTTTAAATAAATCATCGATTGCTTCAAGTTTTTCCTATAGGATATAGGATATGGTTTTCGTTTTAGCTCGCAGAGTATCGAAACCTGCATCGTACTAAAATTTTCGAATCTCGCCAAATATTGCTGGAACACGCGAGGTAAATACTTTGCTATCGATTACGGTTTATGAGCATTGAAATTCGTGAAAATGCGGGAAAGCCTCGGTAACTGTCAAGAGTAAATTACAAGCTGAAATTTACGAGCCTCCCGAAATCAGCTGCACCACCACCGGCTAATTCTGGCAGTATGATCGTGTTGACTGTCATTTATAAGTTTCAATTATAACACACTCTTTGACCTTACTCTACACTGATTTTCCTAGAATTTTCGCCCAACATTCATAGCCAACATTCTCGCTGTCGATGCATACTTTTAAAGAATTACACGTTAAAAATTTTGCATTAAACGATCGCGCAAAATTTCAAAAACATTGGCGTAAATCCAGTTACACGTGTTTGAATTCAAGAGTCGATCAATTTCATTTTGTCTTAGATACCTACATCGTGTTGCTTGCTCGATAATCCATCACGAGGTTGAGCACAGAGCTGTCGTTAATTTGTATATTAATTTTTCCGAGATTTCTGTAAAAATTTTGGGATTATTAATCGCAGGAGATCACGTGGACAAATGTGTTTGATTTTAGAGAAGAAATCAAACTGTGGGAAAGAATTCTACTGGAACGCGAGATGAAGAGGAGGTAATGGTCGGTTGGGTATCGTGGCACAGGCTTTGTCATCATGTGTGGCGCGTTTACAAGCGAAACGGAAACGAGAAATCTACCAATTACGGCAGACAACCTTCGTAGATTGAAATCAACGAATCGCGATGCGCGGGTGGGCTCCCGTGGCGATATTTCGTCGATACTTGGTTAGACCTCGATGACTGGTATCGTCAAATCGACGTTACGCTGCGGCTGTCACGCTTGTCTGGCTTTTTCCGCTCATCGTTCCTCATGGACGGTGGTTTTTGCTCGTATAAAGATCGTTCGACTCTGTGCATACTTGGGAAAACGTTTCGTAATAGAAAAATATTCTGTAATACTTCGCACAGTTTTCTAGAATTCTGTCCTCGTTAGACGAGAATCTGTGCCATATTTCTCTAAACCGATTATTATACGAGTTATTCCGGTTTAATTAATTATTCCGCTTGATTTATTCCATGTTTATCGAATTTCTTGAAACGCGGTACGAGCACGTGGAATATTTCGGATACTCGGGTGAAATGTTACGAGTTTTCGTGGTTATCGATAGCTTCGAAAAATAATTGTCTCGTGCTATCAGTAACAACGATTAAAACGTCAGAAATTCGATGAGCCGAAGAAACTCTTTATCTCCGTCTCCCCCCCATATTCCAAAAGCGTATTTCCCCCGGTAACAGCGCAAAATTTTAAATTCTTCGCGGTAAAGAACAATTTTATCTACATCTTGGCCGAGGAACAAAATATCCCAGAACCAGAGCGTGAAATTCTCGATTCTTAAAGGCCAGGAATAACGAAATGAAACTTTCAGGAATCCCGCAGGAGATAGAATTTTTTGCATAACCTCGCATGGAGGACCACATTCACGCTCTACCACGATATTCCAAGCAGTCCGCCATCTTGGCTCCGGGAAGAGCTGAACGTCCCAGGACCCGGGGTTACAAATCTCATGTCCCGAAACCGAAAAGCTGGAAAAACTGAGAAATTCTTTAAATAGGCAATTATTTGGCAATTTGCAGGAACAATCGTGCGACAAGGCCATACGGGGATGACGGCGAATTGCGACACACGATGGAACCTGAGGCCGCCACGAAGACGAGGCAGACTCGAGGCAAAAAGTCCTCTCTGATGCAACGCGAGTTACACAAGAGGAGGCTCGGTGATCGGGAACAGTGTGCACGCTTGATTCGCACGGCCCGATCGCGAGAAGGAGAACGAAAATGGGGAAAAAAGGGAAAGGAAAAGATCGTCACTCGGGTCGATTGCGTTTATCATTCGCGAGTGCGACGATAACGAGAAGGCCACACATGCTCGCGTACCCGCACACGTCGCCGCCGCGTGGAAGCACACGCGTGCGAGCAGCCTGCGTCATCGGGGACACGGGCCGAAGAAACGAGCGAATTTCAATCGAGATACTACCCGTTGACATTTTCTCGGAGTTGTTCGAGCGTGCGTGCTCGATCGCGCCACGATAAATAACAAAGAGCACCAAAACCAGTCCCGCGACCTACTTCCCGTCGCCGGATGAAATTGCACTCGGCCCACGAATATTAATAATTAAGCAGCCTGTCGCTGCTCGACCTCTCAGAGTCCTTCGTTCCACTGCCGAATTGATACCTTCGCCACGATGTCACGATCGCTCGCGTATATACACGGTCTGCTGTGTGCTTGGTCTACGAGCTGATCCAGGGAACCACGATCGATCATGGGCAGAAATCGTGGAAATGTTTGCAACAGCGGCATTAGGTACCCGTACAGGTGTTGGGTCAGGGATGGAGTTCAAAGTAGAACAGAGAACATTTAAATCCAGTACTTGCAGTTGGAAAGAAGCACTCTTTGCAGTCTAATGTCAAATGACACTCGATAGGCTGTCAATCGAATGATACCAATTTTCACGCAAGGGAGATGGACTTAACTTTGTCAAACACGTGTAGACACATACAAAGACGCAATTTCTTGGAGATACACGAAGACAGAATGAAATTTTGAACGGTATCAAGTAAATCCCCCTATGCGAACCAGTTGACCTAGAGTCTCGTGCGCGACTGACACCGTAACCTGCATACAACATAGGGTAGACGGTAGTAGGGTAAACGGTCTCTCTCGGACTGCAGGCTAGTTGGTATTGCTATTGATTCCAGGATCCTCCACAGATAACTTCACGAAGATTCGGAATATCTGAGAAGATAGCGACACAGCTTTTCGAGAAGTCAGCGTGACTGCTGATAAATAGCCGTAAGCGACGCTAATGGATTAGTTGACATGATACATTATGCACCGAGCGGTAAAAAGCGTGCAAACGAGGCAAATGCAACGGTCCCGACCGAGCCCGGACCCAGGACCCCGAAGAGAAGAAAGAAAAAGTCGAAAGAAGCCGTGTGCCAGCTTCTCCGTCCCTCCGTATCGGGCGCCCCAAGGATTCGTGAAGACGCGACCCCTGCAAAGAATTCGCAGGGTGGGCTAAACGACGCGTGATCCCGTCGCGAGTGTATCGCGAGGGTGGGCGCGGAGAGGGCGGTGCAAACCGAGGAGGACCAAGCGGAAGATGGGACAGGAGCGATTTATACATTTATCGAGCGGACAGGGGGACGCGGGGCACGGGTGGAAAGGATACGTAAATAAAAGACGACGGGATATGTAGGTCAGGGAATGAAAAGTAACGAGTGAGCCGTGACTGGATGGACATGAATGAATGAACGGAGCGGAGTCGCAAGGGAAAAACGGGCGTAGGTAAGAAACGGCGGACAAAGCGGGAAGACAACGCGGGCCCGGGGACAAGAAAAGAGGAGGAAGGGGGAGAGAGGGCGGGAAAAAGGAACAGAGAGCGGAGAAAACGCGAGCCATAGTGGAAAATAGGTCAGACCGGGGGGAAAATAAAAAAGCAGCGCGTTAAGAGCCCGGGTTGTTCGCTGAAACATCATAGCGCGATATGGAGTGACGAGGAACGCGAGTTTCTTACCCTTAGAACCGGTTCCGGAGGAAAAAGTATGGCCGCAGTTAAACGCGCTCGTGTTTCGAGCTTGTTAACGCGGCAACGGTAATTTCTCCGCGAAATTTTGCCAAAGTTTCCCTCAGAGGGCACTGCTATATAGACAGTCGATAATTTTATACTCCCGTATCTCGTTTTACCTTTCGTTTCTATTTTCCCTCCGATTTCGGTTGCGACGAACATTTTTCGCAATGGCGTATTTTCGATGGGACTAGTTCAGTTCTCCATCGGGGAACTCGATTCGACGCGATAAAAAAAAGCATTTCGCTTTTCGACTGGGATTAATAATTCAAGGGGTAGGAGTGTTTTTATGATTCGCTGGACGAGCAGAAAAGTGGGGTCCCGAGAGAGAATTAGAAGCGAAAATAAGGGTTCATCCGGTCTCGTGTGTCTGAACTCTGCAGTTAAGAATAGGACGAGGTACCGAGTGCCCGAGTGCTCGAACGGATAAC